AAAAATAAAAAAAAAAAAAAAAAAAAACGAAAAAAAAAAAAGCATCCTACCTCCATGACCTTGGCCCTGACAGTGCCCAGCATGTGCTCTAGACACTGGGTGATGCTAATATTGGCTCCACTGTTCACATGAGTGTGCACTGGGATGACCTGACATAGAAACACTGGTCAAAAGCACTTTTCTGACTTAAAGAAAACCACAAACTCTTGCAATCAAGATTTAACTGAGAAAGACCTTTCCCAGGCAGGAGAACTGCGACTGCCAGAATCTCATTCGTCGTGAGGCAGAGAGGGCAGGATTCGTTGGGCTTGATGGTGCAATTAGGATTAGTGGGGATCCAGGAAGCTTGCTCTGTATTTAAAAAACAATTAAGAACAAATTACAAAATGGTTGTATGGAAGTGTTTTCTATTATAAGCTTAGTTAATGATTTAGTTGTACCGGTTTGTTTTGAGACAGAACTCCAACAGCTGGATCCCAGGGCCGTTTCAATAGCAGTGACAGTGCTTCTGCACTTGGAGCTCCAGTCTTTGCCGAGGATAGCAACATTCGGTCAATCAGTGAGGGCAACTTCATAGACACAAAGAGGGGTGTAACAATGAAACCAATAATCACAGATAATGCAGCACATAAGTGACAGGAAATATACACCAATTCTTTCACATCATACCTTGCTTTTAAGAGTCTGCAGCACATCCAAGTAAGCGGCAAGCATTGCAAGGCTTAAGGACTCAATCATGGTGACATGTAACCACTGTGTCAGTTTAGTGTCCCAGTTCACACTGGCTAATGCATGACGCACCTTCCTGGCACACTTGTCCACAGCTATTCTCCGCAAGATTGGCTCATTGGAAGCCTAAGAGAAATGAAACACCACAAGAGACTCAGTAATAATTCAATAATTTTCAGCTGAATAATTTAAAAAATATTCACACGCGATGTTATTTAATCTACAAAACCCTAAGATGAGTACTGTCATGCCACTATTCCATTTTACAAATTGCTTTAGTCACATTTAGCAACTGACCCAAGTTCACACACACACACACACACACACACACACACACACACACACACACACACACACACACACACACACACACACACACAC